TCAGCCTTCCAAGTAGCTGGAACTACAGGCGCACGCCACCATGCCCGGCTAATTTTTTTGTGATTTATTGTAGAGATAAGGCCTTGCCAAGTTGTCCAGGGTGGTCTCAAACCCATGGGCTCAGGCAGTCCTCTTACCTCAGCCTCCCAAAGTGCTGGGATTATAGGGGTGAGCCACTGGGCCTGGCCTCTGTATAGATCTTTAGGGCTATAAGCTCTAGGTCAGCTGAGGTTACTTCTCGGGGGAGAGGCCCAAATTCCAGTCCTGGCTCTATCACTCGCTGGCTAGCTGAGCAACCTCTCTGAGCCTCAGTTTCCACATTTGCAAAACTGAACCAGTTTCACCAGATGCTGGATAGGTCCCTCCCCAGGTCTACTTTCTTATACTAATGTAATTTCCTGTTCATGAAAAAAAATCTCACCCCTAGAGAAGAACGTCCCAGCTTGGAGCTCACTATAAAAGGATGTTGCCTTTATTTTAAAATTGGATTAGCTGGGAAGGATGAAAAGAAATATAGAATTAGAGAACACATCTGATGGATTCTCAGATATGCACTGAACAACCACAGGAAGATGAAAAGACAGGACGTTACCTCTGTTTTCATGCACACACACATACACACACACGCAGAGGTTCTGTTGAGAATGCGACCAGTTCAGTTAACAGTAAAGTAAGTAATCCCTCCTAACACTTCCAGGAAGGATGATTCCTTCATTTGTCTTCAGACTCAAGTTCAAGTCTTAGGCACCTTGGCCCCTTGGCATCTTAGGACCTCACTTTCCGTAGTTGTGAGATTCAGAATCAGAGCTCTTCCAATCCTAGCAGTCTAGGGTTTTAAGAAAGCCTTCCACACCACAGCTATGTCAGTTGAACCCCATCACATCATGGGCAGGAAATGAGGGTTCAGCAACCCTCCCAAGGTCACACCCAGATTGACTTGGGCTCCCCAGCCTCAGACCTCCATGGACCTGGCCTTGCGTGGAGAAGCCGTTTTGAGAAAATCCCTTCCATAATTTTATCTTAAAGATTTCCTATCTATAGAAAAATGGAAAAAGAAGTATGAGAAACTCCCCACATGCGGTCTAGATAGATTCATTCACAACTTGTGAATGCTGCACCACATTTATTTTCTTTCTCTCATTCTCTCTATATTTACAGTCTTTGTTCAGCCGTTTGAAAGCAAACTGCAGGCTCCTGACACCTCACCTAAGTACCTGAGCAGGTCTCCCTTAGAACACCTTCATAATCACAATACTGTTACACCGCCCAAGAAACTGGACACTAACACAAGAACATTCTCTACCGAACAGTATATTCAAATTGCCTCAGTTCCCCTGAGTCTGCCCTCGTAGTTTTTCCCCCCCGGGACGAAGATGCCAATCAAAGGTCTTGTATTCCATGTGGTTAACACATCTCTTCTGATTCTTTCAACAGAGAGCATATTCTTCCCATGCCTTTTCTCTTTCTCTTTCTTCTTGACATTGACATCTTTGATGAGTCTGAACTCATCGTCCATGGCTGGATTTGCTCGCTAGTTTCCTCATAATTAAACACCCTTTCCAGCTGGGTTCGGTGGCTCAGCCTGTAATCCCGCGCTTTGGGAGGCTGAGGTGAGTGGATTGCCTGAGCCCGCGGGTTTGAGACTCGCCTGGGCAACTTGGTGAGACCTCATCTCTACAATAAATCAAAAAAATTAGCCGGGCATGGTAGCGCGCTCCTGTAGTTCCAGCTACTTGGAAGGCTGAGGCGGAAGGATCGCCGGAGCCCAGCACGTCGAGGCTGCAGTGGCCGGGAGCATGCCACTGCACTCTAGCCTGGGCGACAGAGTGAGACTCCAACTCAAAAACAAAACAAAACAAAAAAAACCCTTTTCAACAGTGAATATTTGGGAGCACACTTTCACAAAAAGTGACACAAATACTGTCCTCCCAGCTAATGAGAAAAGCGTGTCCTTCCCTGACACTGACACACACACACACACACGGACTCACCCTCAAGCAAGCAGGATGAACAGAAGAGCATCTCCACTAGAAAAAATCACCTCGAGAAGTGGCCTGGTGACTTAAAAGCAGAGGTTCCCAGACAGGACATACAGTAGAAAAACTCCCAACGCAACACATGGCGGGCACTAAGAGGTGCCACCTCTTTACTTTACGAAGCAAAACATTAAACAGCAAGCAACCACCTACTACCATTTCATAAATGGTTGTCAGTTCATAAGTAGAAGTAACTTTAACACCAAAAGGTAGGAGTAACAATCTCTGAGAAGAGATTCAGAAAAGAATCAGTTTTCTTTTCTTTTGTTTGAGTTGGAGTCTCACTCTGTCACCCAGACTGAAGTGCAGTGGCCGCTCCCGGCTACCGCAGCCTCGACCTGCTGGGCTCCGGCGATCCTTCCGCCTCAGCCTTCCAAGGAGCCGGAACTACAGGTGTGCGCTACACGCCCAGCTAGTTTTTGCTTTATTGTAGAGATGAGGACTCGCCAAGTTGCCCGGGCGAGTCTCGAACCGCAGGCTCAGGCAATCCGCTCGCCTTGGCCTACCCAAAGTGCTGGGATTACAGACCGAGCCACCAAGCCCGGCCAAGAATCAGTTTTCAAAGAGGAAACTGGCGGCTTTCTAGGGATCATGTTCGTAGCCATCTCACCAGAACCCGACATTTCTCCTCTTGCTCTGGACTGTGAAAGCCGTCATGGAAGGCGCAAGAACCCAGAACCCCAGCCTGCACAGAGCTGGCAAGAGCGCAGTCGCCACAGCTCCTGGGAGGACTGCTTTGCTTTAACCCTCTGTCTGGCCCTGGGTGTGCAGTCCCTAGGAGGAAGGGGAGGGCGGGAAGGAAGCCTGGATGCCTGCAACCAGCCACCACAAGCACGTTCCTTGTGAGCTCAGAGCCCCTCTGCCCCACGTTCTTACCTTCCCTGGAGCCTGCTGGCACGTCCCTGGCGGTGTCCTGGGCCTGGGCACACTGGCCTCGTCTCAGCCTCGCCACCTCCTGGCTGCTGCTTTCCAGCCTCCTGGCCAGATCCTCGTTCTCCTGCCCCAGGCGCTTCCTCTCCTCCTCCAGAACCGACTTGTCTCGGAGGAGGTTGCCATAGGCAGCCTCCAGTTCCCTGGCTTGGGTTTCCAGCTGATCCCGCTCCCGCCTCAGGGCTCCCAGTTCCCTCTGCAGCCCCTCTTGGTCTCCTGCAGCCTGGCCCAGGCTCAGCCGGTGGAGGAGGCTCTCCAGGGAGCTGAGCCGGGCTTTGGCGGCCTCCAGGTCTGTGCGCTGGGTGCTGCTGTCTCTCTGCAGGTCATGGATGGCTGCCAGGGCCTGGCCTTCCCCGGGGCAGCTGGATTCATTGGGGCTGGCCACACTGAAGGTGTACTGGCATCGGCCAGCCCGGTCGTTGGCCTTCCGGAGCTGAGCCGTCCTGGCCCCCACGTCCCATGCCAGGCAGGCCAGCAGCAGCAGCTGCACAGCTGGCATCTCGGCTCGAGGCAGTAGCAGCATGCACAGGAGACCCTCGCTGCAGAGGCCGGGTGAGGCCTCCTCTGGAAATCCCTGCTGTGCTGTGAGGTGTCCGGCGGGTGGCCTTGCTGGCTCCTGCCCCAGCTCCGGAGAGGTTTATATATGCCGGGAGCCAGCCCTGCGTGGGGGGAGGGAAGTGGCCGCGAGAGGCTGGGTGGGGCTGTGCACAGGGGGTTGCCTTCACACTGCCAGCAAGATCCTTAGGAAAGAAGCTTCCAGAAGTCTGCCTGGGATTTCTTTGAGCAAAAAGTCCCACTTTATGTACCCACACCCCAATGACAGGCCTTATATCCCCAGGCCACAGACTCACACAGGCCCACCTCATCCAACACCATGGCTTGTGTGCTCATTTCCTCAGTGACACATGTCTAGTTTACATTTCCATTCCCTCTGCAAACCTCACAAGAACCTGCACTTGGCCAGGCACTGTGCAGGGAACTGGGGAGACAGATACGCCCGAGACACAGCTGTGCTCCTTAGCATGCCCAGGGTCACAAGTGCCTGGCTAGGACACAGCTCTGTCCCTTAGCACAGTAGTCCATATCCTTTTTGGCAGCAGGGACTGATTTTCTGGAAGATAATTTTTGCACAGACGAAGGTGTGGGGTGGGGGCTGGTGGAACGTGCAGTCATACCTCACTGCTGACATTCATCCATATTTGCAGTCGCTCCCCAGTGCTAGCATCACCGCCTCAGATCAGCGGGCATTCGATTTTCATAAGGAATGTGCGACCTAGATCCCTTGCATGGGCAGTTCACAATAGGGTTCATGCTCCTGTGAGAATCGGATGTGGATGCTGACCCCACAGAAAAGGAGCTCAGGCAGTAATGGCAGCGATGGGGAGTGGCTGTGAATACAGATGAAGTTTCGCTTACTTGCCCGCCACTTACCTCCTGCTGTGTGACCCAGTTCTTAACAGGCCATGACTGGTATGGGTCCATGGCTTGAGGCTGGAGACCCCTGCCTAAGCAGGTACAGAGACAAACAACAGCCTGCCTAGGACACAGTTCTGTCCCTTAGCAGGAACAGGGACAAACAACCGCCAGCCAGGATACAGGAAAGCCCAGCCCAGCCATGCTTCTGGAGAGCATTCCTACAGAAGCAGTTGAAAGCAGAATTCTTTCCCATTCCCTAGCTTTAAAACAAGTTGTGTGTGTATCTTTGGGAGAACTTTCTAATTTCAGTGTCACATCTCAGGCACCATATCATTGCTAGTCTCTAGACCAGTCCTTACTGTGTTTGTGTGTGCCATGAACCTCACTGGTGAAGTCTGTGGAAACCCTCTTAGAAAGATGTTTTAAAATGTATAAAATATGTAGGATTACAAAGGAAACACATGATACTGAAATACAATTATCAAAATATTGAAGTACTTAAAATACGTATGTGCTTCTTTATTTTGAGTCAGGGTCTCGGTTTTTCGTCAAGACTGGAGTGCGGGGGCACGATCGCAGTTCACCACAGCATCTCACCACAACCTCAACCTCCTGGGCCCAAGCTAGCCTCCTAAGTAGCTGGGCCTCCAGGGGCACGCCACCACGCTCAGCTAACTTTTCTATTTTTTTGTAGAGACGATATCTCACCATGCTGCCAAGGCTGGTCTTGAACGCCTGGGCACAAGCCTTGGCCTCCCAAAGTGCTGGGATGACAGACACGAGCCACCATGCCCAGCCTGTGATTCTTTATCAACACATTAAAAGCAAGATCTAAAGGAGGGGTCTCATTTAAAAGCAGTTTTGCATGTAAGCAATATTTCATGATATCTTTAACAGCTGTAATGTAGTATAACATCTCCGTGAGTTCTATTAGTAGGGACACAGTCACAGGGATTGCTATTACACCTTTGAGTTTATGGCTATATCCATAATTAGGAATGAAATGTTAAATTTGGGTAGAAGGTGGTGAAAAGAAAAATATAATTTTTTTCAGATCCAAATTCACAGGCTTTCAGGACCATAGGTTAAGAATCCCCATTTACATTAATAAATCCAAAGAAGAAGAAGAAGAAGAAGAAATGGCAAAAGCTGACAAATATGCCAAAGATCTGTAGGAGGTTCATGCAGACAACGGGTGTGCGGTAGCCTCATCAGTAACTTAAAATAGTGTTTGCATGTGAGCAGTGCTGTGTTGTCAACATTCAGAGCACCTTTAATACTTGCTAGGTAAATACTTAAGTGCCCTGGCAAACTCACCTCCACACAGGAAAACACAATTTGCTCTAAAGATTCGATTCCTAGCCGGGCTTGGTGGCTCAGCCTATAATCCCGTGCCTTGGGAGGCTGAGGTGAGTGGATTGCCTGAGCCCGCAGGTTCGAGACCTGCCCAGGCAACTTGGCAAGACCTTATCTCTACAATAAATCAAAACATTAGCCTGGCATGGTAGCCCGCTCCTGTAATTCCAGCTACTGGGAAGGCTGAGGCGGAAGGATCGCTGGAGCCCAGCAGGTCAAGGCTGCGGTGGCCGGGAGCGGCCACTGCACTCCAGTCTGGGCGACCAGGTGAGATTCCAACTCAAAAAAAAAAAGGTTTGATTCCTATTCCAGGGGTTCTAAAGTTAAGTTTGACCTTGAGACATTTACAAATGGGTGTCTGCTTCTAGCTGACTAGAGGGTACTATTCTCTGTTCCTGAATCAGCGGGTGAACAGCACTGGAATGCTCTTTCAAGAACAACACAGCGCATAGTTAGCACTAACCGGGTTCACATATGCTCTCGGCTTTACTCCTAGGAATGCTTTCTTCTGCTGAGGACAGAGCTCATCCCTGCGATGCTGGCTCCGTGGAGGAAAGGCGCTTCCCACGCAGGGAAACGGGAGTGACCTTACAGTCCCCAGTTCCACCTTGGACTTGCTCGGGAACTGGGACTGCAACCAGGTCTCCCACTCCGCGTGGAGCCCTGACCCTGCAGCCGGAGTGCGCGGTCTGTGGCTCTCTCGGCCCTCGACTGGGTCGCGGCGGTTTGTGCCCACACCTCCCTCCCTCTTTCTGTCACCTCCCTCTATTTGTCACCTCCCTGCAGCTGTGGCACCGCTGAGCTGTGCGGGTGCTGGTCCAGTGAAAAGTCTAAGAAGCCCTGGAGTCTCCCCTTGCTCCAGGCCAGGCTTTGAACGCCAGGTGGGAGTTGCCCCTCCCCCCCACTCATCCTCGGCCGTCGCCCGCGTGCCAGCTCAGGGAAGGAGAGCTGGGCTGCTGGGTTCACAGGGGTCTTCCGATCATTTCTCCCTGGAGTCTGACCCATCAGTGAGGACTGGCAGAGTTCCTCCCCCAGCCCCGTTCTGCTGCCTTCCACGCCCCAGCCACCCCCCACCAGCACCCCCACTGTCA